ATATATATATATATATATATATATATATATATGTTAATATATTATTTAATTGTAATTAATTAGTAATATAGTTTACAATATTAATATATAAAACAAATAAAAATATTTTATTTTTTATTATAAGCATCTTTATCTCTGATGCTGCTGGGGGTGGTGATGGTGGTGATGCTGAAGGGGGGTCGGGGGGAGGGGGAGATGCTGCTGCTGCTGCTGCTTCTGCTGCTGCTGCTGTATTTGCTGCTGCTGCTGTATTTGTTGCTGCTGCATCTGCTGCTGCTGCATCTGCTGCTGCTGCATCTGCTGCTGCAGTTGAATGTGTGGATGGGTTGTTGTATGTGTATCTCCTTCTTCTCCTTCATGTGCTGTTGCTCCTGCTGCTGCTGCTGTTGCTGCTGCTGCTGCTGCTGCTGCAGCTGAGGCGTTGCAGGTAGAGGGTGAGGTAGCAGTTGGTTTGTGTGTTGGTGATGTTTCTATGTTTGCTGCTGCACCTGAAGCCTCGGCCAACGAGCTGCTGCTGCTGGAAGTAGTGGAGACTATGCGGACTGTTCTTAACGCAATCTGCGCGTGAGAACACTCCTGCTGCTGCTGCTGCTGCTGCTGCTGCTGCTGGTGCTGCTGTTGCTGCTGCTGGTGTTGGTGTTGCTGCTGCTGGTGCTGCTGCTGATGATGATGTTGCTGGTGTTGCTGATGATAATGATGTTGCTGCTGCTGGTGCTGCTGCTGATGATGATGTTGCTGCTGCTGGTGCTGCTGCTGTTGCTGCTGTTGCTGCTGCTGTTGCTGCTGATGGTGATGCTACTGGTAGTAATTGTGCTGCTGATGGTGCTGCTGCTGCTGCTGCTGTTGCTGCTGCTGCTGCTGGTGTTAATGATGAACTGGGAGCTGTGAGGGTGCTGCAGCAGCAGCAGCTGCTGCTATTGCACGCGGGTCTGTTGCTGCTGCTGCAGTTGCTTCTTAGCCAGGGCCTTCCATTCTCATAGAGCGATTGCTGCTGCTGCTGCTGTTGCTGCTGCTGCTGCTGCTGCTGCTGCTGTTGCTGCTGCTGCTGCAGCGGGAATATAAGCCGGCAGAGCGTGCTCGATAACATGGATTCTGTTTTGTTGGCTTTGGATGAGATGGCTAATCAAGGGTGGGGTTTGTTTGTTTTTTTTTTTTTTTGTTTTTTATTTTTTTATTTCTTTTTCTTTTCCTTTTTCTCTCTTCTT